CGCGGGCGGGGCAGAGGCTCAAGGAGGATCAGGGGCAGCAGCAGCGGCGCTGGATCTCGGATTCGGGCTCCATCTTTCCAGCTGCCGCAAGGGTCGGGGCTGCGCTGGCCGTGTCCGTAGGGCTCGGGGCCGCGCTGCCCGCGGGTGCTGTCGTGGATCTCTGCGCCGTCGTCACTGGAGTCGCCGTCCCTGCCGAATGCGGCGTCGCCGCAGCAGCCTGCGGCGCGAACCCTATTTCGGCGCTATACATGTCCCCCCGCTGCTGACTCTCACCGCTTCCCGCCTCTATCCCTTCATCCATCAACCCCCTGTGATCCTCAATCCCCCTGGCTTTCTGGCGGCGGCCTCTTGACCGCGCACTTCGGCCGTCTTCGGCATCTTTTTCTTCTTCGTATTATTCTTCTTCTTCTTCTTCTTACCCTCTTCATTGTCTTCACCTTCTTTGGGTTCGCCTTCTCCTTCCTTCTTTTCTTCTTCCTTCCTCTCGTCACCGCCTGGGGCCTCCTTGCGCCTTCCCCATGCGCCTCTTCTTCTTTCCTTCCCCATTCGCATCGCCCCCTTCCTCATTGGACTCATCGGCCTTGCCCTTGGAGGTATCATCAGGGATGCGACCTCCCCCCAGGCCCTCCCCACCGCGCATGTGCGCCAGAAGCAGCGCATCCGACAAGCTGTCCTCGGATCCCCTGAGTTTCCAGTTTCGTTTCTTCGGTGGCTCGGGGTCGCGAGCTGGCGGTGGGGCGCCGTCGCGCGCGAACCTCTCTGGGTCTTCACCCTCGCGTGCGTTGGCCTTTCTCTTCGCCTGACTCCATCCGATCGGGGCCACGACAGGCGAGGGCTGGTGGCCATCACTCGGGGCCTCGCCATCTTTCGGCTTCTCGGGCGAGTCTTCCACCTCCAGCACCACTGTTTCCTTTTCTTGCTCCAGCGCCGCCGGGCCCCGCTCTCTCGCCACTCCGCTCTCGCATCTTCCCCGCCCCTATTGTTTTCCTTGCCTTTCCAGCAGTCCACCTCGCACCCCCCCCCCCCACCTCGCCCGCGCTGCCGCCCGACCCCGCAAACTGGTGACAAGGGGGAGGTGCAAAGCGGAGGGTGGGCCGTCCTCTTCTTCTTGAATGCGCTGCGCCATCGCGAAGTCGCCCATCTCCATCGCCATATTCTGCGACGCCCCCACATGCTCCTCGAGCATATCTGGTGAGACGTCGGCCAGGGTCAAGAACCCTTGATGCTGGGATTCCTGCTGGGTCTGGGAGCCCTCGGGAGCCACCTCGCCGTCCGCCAGCGTCCTCCCTTCTGGGGGCGCTTCTTCCGCCATCGCGCCGCTGGCGTCCTGGTGGATTCGTCTCATTCTCACACCTATCCTCGTTCTCCGCTGTGTCACCCTACCTCCTGCCATGCCCCTTCCTCCACCTCCCGATTTTCTTCGTCTAGTCGTCGTCATCCGTGCGTTGCCATCTTCTCTGTCCTTATCACATCCGATTGCACTTTTACCTGATCCCCCGCGTCCTAGAACGCTCTCGCGCGCGGCTCCCTGCAGGCGCCAGGGGCGCGCCCGATTGCCAAACCGTTGCTGGAATCTTAAGGCGGCGAGGCGGCGGGCGTAGACGACGACGACGACGACGACGACGACGACGGTCAAGAGGACGGCGAAGAGTGAAACGGGGGGTGGAAACGGGCGTGGGCAACAAGAGACGTGGGCGTGGGGATTAAGAGGTGCGAGACCGATTGCCCTCGATCGCCGTCGCCCGACGTTTCCTGCAGAGACGCGGGCACCCGAAGTCGAGCGCCGAATCAATATCCAAGCGCGCGCGCGGCATCGCAGGATTGAGTTCCTTGGAGAAGCTCCAGGCCACTGAAAGCTGACCCCCTCCCCCAAAACCAGTATGCGGGCGAAATCCTGGATAGGGGGCGACGCAGCCTGTCGCCTATCAAAGGACTCTCGATCGCTATTCTACTTCGCTGCCCTCCCGAGCGCCACCCCCCATCACTCACTCGAGCTTTATCTTTGTCGGTATCTTTCTCTTTGTCTTTCTTTTGTCTTCATATTTGTCTTTATCTTTGTCTTTATCTTTGTCTTATCCAGCTTCGATCTTGGTCTTTACCTGCCGGCCCTCGCGACGACGACAGGGGGGGCGACGATCAGGACGACGACGCTTCCCTACCGCAAGATAGCACCCCTAACGCACAATATCTCAGATGCTACGGCAGTGCCCCACCCCTCCCATTCCTCACGTAAGACAATCATTGCCGAACTCTAAATCCATCATCTTCTGGCAGTCGCTCGCGCTTCCCTTGTCAGGCGAAGGTTTATCATCGTGCTTGCCCCTCTTCCCCCTAGGTGTCTGTGGCTTCACAACAGCTGCCTCTGTCTTCTGCTTCGTCTTCTTCTTCTTCTTAAGGCTTTCAGGCGTCTTCTTTTTCTTCGGTATCTTTATCTTTTTCTTCCTATCGGTGTCTTCAGACTTCTGCTTTCCAGCTGTTTTTTTTGCGCCGTAGCCTCGCCCTCCTCGTTCTCCTCCCCCCCCTCTTCTCTCGTCGTGGCGTCGTCGCCATTCTCTTCTTCATCTTTCGCTTGCACCTCGCCCTCAGCTTCCTCCTCTTCCTCCTCCTCCTCTTCTTCATCGTATTCCTGCTCCTCTTCTTCGCCCTCCTCGTAATACTCTTCCTCTTCCTCTTCTCCCTCGCCCTCGCCAGGTGCGCCATCTTCGTCCTCATTGTCTTTCGACGGTTCTTCGTCGACCTTTTTGTGTTTTTTTCTTGTCTTTCGGCGCGTCGCCATCGGCCTTCTCTGGTTTCTCGGGCCCTTCTTTTGTCGCAGCGGCGGGCCTCTTCATGCCTTTTCCTTCGCCGTGTTTCCTGATGTATTCTTGCTTCACCTGCTCAAACTCATCTTTTGATTCATGTCCGCCTGCGACCTGCTCTCCAAACTTCTTGAACATAGAATCAACCTCATCACTATTGAACCAACTTTTGACCGCCATCTGAATGACCATGCGCTTCTTTTTTGGAGGCGGACAGCCCCAAACAAACAATCCCAAGTGACGAGTCCTTACATCGCTGATCATTCTATGGAATACTTCTACTGTCACCCGCACTTTTTCTGCTGTCACAACCTCCCATAAATACTGATTGCCCTTCTTCTGCTGCTTCACACTCATCATGTCCTTCCAACGCTTATGGGTCATCCCAGGTATCGTATAGAAATCGCCGTCTTCGAAATTTACTGTGACCTCTTCGTCGTCGTCATTATCTGCGAGGCCAGTAGAATACACTGGTGGTCCGCCGTTCTTTAACTTTCGAGCCGCGGCCTGCCCTGCCCTTGGAAAGAGCAACAAACAACACAGCCCAACATGCGCTACCATGATTCTTAGAATGCAGGTACAATCACAAACAATATGCGCCCCCCCTTCCCGCCATCATCTCGCTGTCGAAGTCGCACGAGTAATTATCTTCTTTGGCCTCCCCTGCGCCCCATTCGGGGGGGAGGGGGATATGGGGGGAGGAGGAGGCACGTGCAGAAGAGAGTGGATCGAAGTGAAGGGTCGAAGATCTCCGAATAAAGTCCGAATGAACTCCACATGAATTCCGAATGAAATGCTCCACTGCCGTACTCTCTTGCTCGCCCCCCATCCCCTCCTCGGCGTGTTCCCAGAAATTCTTCAACCACTTTGGCTTCGAACTTTGGCTCCTCGGCTAGCCGGGGCCGCGCGCGGGCGAGGCGGAGGGCGGGAGAGGGGGAGGTGCAGGATGATGAGAAGATGGCCGATGAGGAAGGAAACGAATGGAGATAGCGAGGAAAGAAGGAAGGATGAACAGGGGCAAAAGACAAGGGAAACAGCAGACTCGGGCATCATCGTCGCACTCCTCCGCCTCATCCTCATGGTGCTGTTCCTCCTCATTGCCCCGCTCCTCCGTCTGCCCCAATTGCCCTCGAGTCTTGGCTTTGATCAGCGCTTGTGCTACGCGCCTCAACATGGCTCTTATCCGCCCGCACGCCTTGCGCGCCTCCAGCGTGTAGCGACCTCCTACCCGCTCCCCCTTGTCCCTATGATGCGTTAGACCCCCGCCCATTCCCTCCCCCAGATCCGTGCTTGGCAAAGCCAATGTAACCATAGACGACGCGTCCGTGTACCAACTTTTCCGAGATGCCGCTAGCTTCCACTCTGTTTCCATATTTTCCGAAAGGGTCTGCAGCGACTGTTTGGCATCTTGGGCTGTCATGTTTTGGGCTGGATGCAGCAACTGGCGGAGCTCGTCGATGAGATCTCTCCACTCGAGGAGACGCTTCGTATCTTGTGGGTCCTGACGGGGGAGGGGCGGTGCGGGCGGGGCAATCAACGTTCCTCGTCCTCCCGATCATGTTCAATTCTGCTTCCACTTTTACTATATCCCCCATTTCCCCTCTTTCCCTCTCGTTCCCCATCCGCCCTCCCGCCGCCAACAAGTCGAGTCCCCGAGGTCTTTTGTGTGTTGCAAGTCCTCTGGGGTCTTCATGTGCTTTTTAAATATCCTCCAAAGCTCGTCGGGGTCAGCACCACTCTTCGCTTTGTTCCTTCCCATTTCTTTGTGCGCGGGGCGGGCTTTCCCGCGGGAGGCGGCCGCGGGGCGGCAGGCATGAGAAAAGCGGCAGCGGCGTACACCTGCCCAAACATTGTGGCGACGTGCATGGACAATGCGCGAGCACAGACGTGTATGCGCATATGATGTGTGGGGCCTCAAATTTGCATGTTAAATGATGATATATGAGATGATCTATGATGTTAAGATCTTCAAAAGAGATCCATATCTGTTTTGTTAATTGAGATATTTTAAAGAGATCTAAGATGTACGATCTTGAAACAAGATCTGAAGTGCCTCTGGGTAGCCCTATAGGTCGCAGTCCTATAGCCCTATAGCCCTGTTGCCCGATAGCCCGATAGCCCTATAAGGGGGCAGTTGGAAGATTAAAACAAATATGATTGGGATCTTTCTCCGGTATCATTTTCCAACAATCAATCGGCTTCCCTTGTCGCTGCTGTTCAGCTCTGAAGACACCCAGCGGAAAACCAGTCGCAGGCCTCGAGCCAAGGCCAGCGAGCCAGCTCGCCTGATGAGGGTCAGCAGCTTGAAGTCCCTGGATCGGGACATGCCCAGCGCCAGGGTCAGCGCCAGGTTGTCTCCCACGAACAGGGCCCGCGCATCGTGCCCGTGCTGGCTGCGGGCCAGGCGCTCGACCCCTTTCAGCACGGCTCGGGCCTCCAGGTGGATGATCCCCTCCCGGCACCTCCACTTGTCGGCCATCACGGCGGTCCAGAGGGACCCATGGAGGAAGTGGGCTGGCAGCTCAGGGAACGTCATGTCACGCTCCCACCTCAGCACCTCCGCGTCGGCGGGCTCGGCCCTCGCCCGCGCCATCCCGCCCTCCTGCTCCTCGAGCCCGGCGGCAGCAAAGGCGTGGCTCCTCGCCGCCTCGGCGCCCAGGCGAAGCCGCGCCCGCTCGGGCACCCGCCCAGCGTCGGCGACCGCCGCCTTCGGCCACCGGGAGTACGCCACGCCGAACCCCCACGGCGACGCGTCGGTCTGGTAGACGCCCGGCGCCCACTCGTCGTCCCACTTCGCCCCCAAGAACACCATCGCGCCGCTGAGCGCGAGGAGCTCCTGTCTCACGCTCTCCCACAGCGGCGCCCTGGTGAAATACTGCTTCTTCACGCACCTGTAGGTCGCGTGCAGGATGGACAGCAGCTCCCGCCGAATCAGGGCCACGAACGTCACGTGCCCGACCAGGACCTCGAGCTCCTGCCCTGAGCAGGCCCCGCGGCGCACCAGCTCCTGGATGGAGTCCCTCACGCGCCAGAACCTCTTGGCAGTGGGCCGAGCGCGGCCCAACTTCCCGTCCACCTCTACGCCGAGCGCAACGCCGCACTGGCAGGCAGGCTCCGTCTCGTGGACCGTCAGCCCCTGGTTCGCGAAGGTCTCGGTCACCGCCGTGAGCCCCTGCCGCACGCAGTCCTCGTCGTCCGCCAACACGCCCAGGTTGCCCACGTAGCAATACTTCCCCTGTCCGCCAGGGCCCTCGCCGCCTCGAAGCACCAAGGGAGGCCCTCGGTCCTGAAGAAGCTGGGCCCCGGAGAGCTCCTTGGTCAGCTCCATCTGCCTGGCGTTTGCTTCATGGGCGTAGTAGAGACTCCATGCCCATCCCATGGGCAAAGACTGCGCCAACGGGTGCAGGGCCATGTCGTAGGGCCCCGGCCAGCCACAGCGCCTGCACCAGCGTGGCCAGCGAGATCCCGTGCTCCCTGCAGAAGGACAGCAACCACATCTTCGGGCCCCCCGTGTGCTGGAGAAAACGTCGGCACATATGGAGGCAAGTGCACGCGCCACGGAGAACACTGCTCCATGGTGATCTGCGTGCTCTCCCCCACCGCCTTCCGCCACGTCTTGAAACGGACGCCCTCGGATGTCCACTCGACGTACAGGGTCCGCGCGTCGCCCTCGGCTTCATTCAGCCTCCGGCACGGGCATCGCCGCGCCTCCGACCTTGTCGACGCCGGCGTCGGCTGCGGCGAACTCCGCCCGCAGGTCGTCCGCCTGGCCCGCGGCGCCGCGCCCGACCTGCTGCGGAGCGCTGCACCTGCCCGCCGCCTCGCGCGCCGCCCGGCGCCACTCCTCTACGTCGTCCGCCGCCGCTCTCTGAAACAGCACGCGGGCGCCGTCGTCGAGCAGCACCACGGCCTGGCAGCCACCCAGGCTCTCGGCTTGCCCTCCGACGACAGGGTCGCCCAGCTGCATGCCGTTGGGGGCCCGCACCTCCGCCACCACGTAGACGCCGTCCTCGAACGCGGGCCTCCCGCGGCCGTCAGGGGCCGCAGCCGGCGGGGCAACCACCGGAGCGCCTGCCTCGTCCCCAGCCCCCCCGGCGCCGCAGTCCGCCGCGCCTCCAGCGCGGGCCGCGTGGCGAGCTCGTCGCCGCTCGCCTCGGCCAGCCGCAGCTCGGAGCTCACCCCCTTGTCGGTCAGCCGCCGTCGCACAGCACTCAGCACGCTGTCCTCGACGACCAGCTCGCGACCGCGCCAGTCCAGGAAGGTGGCCGGCTCCTCGCCCAGCCGCCCGCCGAGGTGCTCCAGCAGCATGCGTTTGGCCGGGTAGTTTCAGCGCCTCATCCCGGCCCACGAGGACCTGTGCCAGCACCTCGTTCGCCGTCAGCGGGGCCCTGAACCTCACGACTCCGCCTCGCAGCCCTGGCGGCCACCCCTCGGTCAGGTCGTAGATCCAGGTCCAATCTCGCACACGCTCGATATGCAAATCATCATCGGCGGCGAGGATCACCCAGCTCTCGTACCAGTCGTCGAAGTGGGTCGGCCACAGCAGTACTCGCTCGTGGGAGTAGGTGTCCCCCTCAAAGCGGACGAGCACCCTCCGCCCTGGCATGCGATAGGCCTGACTAATCATGGTGCTCGCGTAGCCCACGACCAGCAGCTCCTCCACGGCGACAGCGTCCACACGTCCAGCCCAGCAACCAGCAGGTCGCACACAGGGCAGCCGTCAGTCCCAGCGCCACCTCCTCCCCCTCTCTCCGCTCAGCCCGCACTGCCGCCACCACGACGTCAAGGTCAGGGCAGGCGGGCGGCACGGGGCACTTCGCCGGCTCCAGCGAAGGACAACCCGGCCACGGGGGGCAGGCCGGGCAAGGAGCCGCTGTCTTCCGCACGAGCAGCAGCCTGGCCGCCTCAGCGCCGGCACCGCGTATCGCCTCGCGCAGGAGCTCGACGGTCGCGGGTGCCCAGTCCCCTATAGGACCATTGCACCACCAAAAGCTTGAGCACAAACGATCACAGACCATTGCAATCACGACAGTCGCCTGTGAGGAGACAGCAATCCCGTGGTACCCACAATCATGGCGATGATGATGATGATGATGATGATGATGATGATGATGATGATGATGACGATGATGCTGATGATGACGATGATGATGATGGTGATGGTGACGATGGTGCGGGTGACGGACGGTGTTGATGACGATGTGGACAAGGAAGGCAAAGCAGAGCATGACGGGAGGAGGGGAATAGTGATGAAGAAGGAGGAGGAGGCAGAGATGCTGGAGAAAGTTGGCAGGCAATAAGGAAGAGGACGAGAAGCAGAGGGAGGATCGAGCATGAGAATGAGGCAGATGATGATGGTGATTATGATGGTGGTGATGATGATGCTGCTGCTGATGAGGATGAGGATGAGGATGAGGATGAGGATGAGGATGAGGATGAGGATGATGATGATGATGATGATGATGATGATGATGATGATGATGATGATGATGATGATGATGATGATGATGATGATGATGATGATGATGACGAACGGTCGGCGGTTGGATGGATCGCAACCGCGTCTTCAGATGTCCATCGGGAATCTTACGGGAGCTCACTGCATCCAGGCGCTCTTAACGACACCTCCTTCAAGCGCCCCCAAAAACGTAGCAACCACTTCGGACCGAACGCAACTGCTTGCGATCGGTCCGTTGCGATCGGTCGTGCTCCAGGGGGGGGAGGCGGGACCGAACAGATGATTCTGGATACGGGGGGAGCTGCGGGGGGACGCCCTACGTCGTGGCGGCCCATGTCGTGGCGGAGGCAGGACACTCGCACACTCTCGCATTCTTGAGGGGAATGTTCATCACCCCCCGACCCCTGAAATCAATGTTGACTGTAGCATGGGTGGTGGTTGGGGGGTTCGACTATTTATCTCCACCCATGCCCTCTCCATTGCCGCATCCTGAATAAACCTGGCGGTTATTGATTTTGGGGGTCCGAGGGGGTATCTTGCGCCGCAGTGTCCGAACGTAGTGTCCATGTACGGGAGGTTGACACGCTGGGCCCCACAGCCGCACGGCGCGCAGCTCGGCGGCGGTGCCGAGCCGCGCTGGACGCAGCCGCACGCTCGGCCCAAGCCCGCGGCGGCGGCAGCGAGGCGGCGCGGACGGTCCCCCGAGGGGCGGGCCCTGCTCGCCGCAGGGCGGGCCTACGAGAAGTCCGATGTCGGCGGCGGCGGCCACTGGCGCACGGCCGACCCGGAGGCCCACCGCTCGAGCAGGGGGTCGACTGCAGAACTGATGTACCCCACATCCCATTTTCTCGTCAGATCCATGGAAGGCGCGTAGAATGCTTGTAGATCTACGTCGCATTCGATCCATGTTTCGTGGACTCGGCGGGAGCATCAATCGTGGGGCAAATCGATTCTGTAGTCGATCCCCTACTCGAACCTCGGCATCCCGCAGTTCGGCGGGCACGCAGACAGCGTCGACGTGCTGCTCGCGGAGCTGGCGGCACCCCTCGGCGGTGCAGGCGAAGCGCGCGGAGCTTCGGGCGGAGGCTGCTGCCTTTGTCACCAACGCCCGCCTTCATTCTGGTGCCGCAGGCGCTGTTGTTCGCGACGCGCTGAAGCGTGAAACCAAGGAGCAGGCCATCGTTTCCGAGGGCATGGTGGTGGGCGAGGTCGACAGCGATACCACCAGCGGTGACACCAGCGGTGTCTCCGGCAGTAACATCAGCGGTGTCGCCAGCGGTGCCGCCAACGGTACTAACAGCTTCTTCGTACCGTGTACGCCCAATTCAACTCCTTCACGGTGGAACTTGCTCCCCTAAGAGGAAAACTTGTGTCTCATGGGTTTCTGCCTGCTGGCGCAAAATTGTTTGTTCCTGCGCCTGCGGTTCAAGGAGAACCTCGCGAGAGTCACGCTCCTCCTCCTCCTCCTCCTGCTGGCCATCCTCGTGCTGTTTGCGCCTTTCTTTGTGATTGAGATGTTGCTGGGGTCAAATTGGGGAGTTCACTCTCTCGTTCACTTGGACTTTGGTGTGGAGAGCCCTGGCAACGCGCCATCATCGCTGTGGGACGAGGTTGCAGAGGCTCCTGGCGACCTGGAGGCATTGCACACCGATGAGGTTGAACCCGGTAGCTACGAATTTAATTCAACCAGCAGTGGCGGCCCTGTCGGCACGGATCGTGTTGTGCGAGAGCTTTCGCAGCGGTGGAATGCCATCCTCGGCGTCGGCCGAGCTTCCAGCACCACGCCCTGCGATCCCGACTGGACCATTGGTTGATTGACGGGCGATTTCGGCTCCCTCTGGTACGTCCATCGACGCGTTCGACTTCCTCATCGATTACGGTGTGGCCCCTGCCGCTCGGGATCGCCAGAGCCGCAGCTGCGGCCCCGCGGCCAGGTCGCGCCCCCGCGCGGCCTCGTTCGTTCGAGCATGTCGCCTGCTAAGCTCCTCCTGCCCCATTCTTCTTCCTTATGAACAACTCTTTCCTGTCGCACCCCGAGACGTGTCAGTGGTGCTGGCGGGGCGTTTCGCCTGAAACTTCCTCACCGTGTATGATCCTTGAGCTGAGAATCTGCAAAAGCGTCACGGATGGAGGGCGGGCCGTTTTCAACTTATGTGGCCCTCGCCTTGGCGCCGCGCAAATCCGTCTAAGAAAGTTGCTAAGGCTTCACGGATGAAGGGCGGTGCGTTTTCAACATGTGGCTCTCGCCTTAGAACCGCGCATGTTCGTCTTAAAAGCTTGCAACAACGTCAAGGATGGAGGGTGGCTCTTTTTCAAACTGTGGCTCTCGCCTTCGCGCCGCGCAAGTCGTTTGAAGAATTCACAGGAAGTTTGTGAAGGATCGCAATGGCTACCTTCCCAGGAACGGTGCTTCAGTACGATAGTTACGTTGTCCCGCAGAGCTGAAGTCCCAGGAACTGCGTTCTGGCACGCTTCAGGACCGCCGAGACGCAACACTCACGGTGATTCGCGGCGTTGAAATCCCAGCATTTGTGTTTTGGCACAGTTTCGGAATTTCCAACGGTTGTCTTCTAACAGGACACTTCCCTCAGTGAAAATGAATCCCCGCATAGGGGCCTATAAAGAGGGATCTTGCAGGGAGGGTTACTTGCACTATCGTTAATCAGTCTTGGGCTTACACTGGTCCTCCTCCTCCCCGCCTCCTCCTCCTCCTTCTCCTCCTCCCTATCCTCCTCCTCCTCCTCCTCCTTCTCCGCCTCCTCCTCCTCCTCCTCCTCCTGCTCCTCCTCGTCCACCTCCTCCGTTGGCCCGAAGCCATTTTGGCTCAAGCCACGGGGGGGCTCAAGGCTTTGTACCCTCGTCCCCTCGCTGAAGGCGGCGCCGCTCGTAATGGCGGCGTCTGGACCTGCCGCTTGAACAGAGGCTGCTGGCGCGGCCTCTGAAGGGTGGGATAAACATGACGGCTGCGATGGAGGGCGCCAACTTGCCGCCCACCGGTGAGAAAGTGCTCGCGGTGGTGAAACGGGATGGCCTGGAGGTTGTGATCCACAGCCACACGGCCGTTGACAGGCTCATCGACGGACTGCTCCTCTTCGGGCAGCCGCCCGCCCAGAAGAAGAAGGAGGCCTACTTCGACATCGGCTTCGACGACCTTGCTCCCGATGCTGCGGGCGAGGAGGCGAAGACGAAAGTCGTGAAAAAGCGACAGATCTACGATGTGATGAGCGCGTACGGGGAGCAGAGGATACAGATCCACGAGAAGCGTTACCACACGTCGAAGTCGGGAGACGATATGATTAACCTGCAGGAGTACGTCAACCGCATGGCTGCGGGCCAGAACGACATATACTACATCACGGGCGTGAGTGGCACCTCGGTGGCCGAGGAGCCGTTTTTGAACAAGATGCGCGAGAAAGATGGGGAAGTGATTTTCCTGACGAATCCCTTGGACAAGGACGACTGGAAGCAACTCCGAAAGTACGACGGCAAGAAGCTGACGTCGATCAAGAAGTTCTGCGAGCAGCTGGAATGGAACGACATGCAGTCGCGCATTCACAAGCTGGAGTCTGAGCACGAGTTCCTGCAGATGCAGTTCCACGAGACCAGCTACCACACGTCGAGGTCTGGAGACGAGAAGATAAACTTGAAGGAGTACGTGAACCGCATGATCGAGGGTCAGAGCGACATCTACTACACCACGGGCGGCATCGGCATGACAGAGGCCGAGGAGCCCTCCCTGGGCTAGATGCGCAAGAAAGGGTGGGAAGTGGTCTTCCTGAACGACCCAATGCAAGAACGAGCTATGCAGCAGCTCAAGAAGTACGAGCTCAAGAAGCTGGTGTCATCTCAAAAGTTCTGCGAGCATCTGGGGCGGGAAACCATCCTGGTCCAGCTCCACCAGCTTCAAGAGACATTTAATGAGAAGGTGCACTGCTTCACCAAGACCTTGGAGGGACTTGACGAAAATGCGGTGCCGATGCGGGTCCACGACAAGCGCTACCACACTTCGAAGCCAGGAGACGCGAAGATTAACCTGCAAGAGTACGTGAACCGCATGATGGAGGGCCAGATCGACATCTACTACATCACGAACATGAGTGGCGTCTCTGTGGCTGAGGCGCCCTACCTGGACAAGATCCTCAAGAAAGGATGGGAAGTGATCTACCTGA